ATATCCGATGCAGCTGATGACGCTGCTGCCAGTTCCCCTGTTGTATAGCAGTGGGGGCGATCTGATTTCGCTGTACGAGAATAAGAGTGAGGGGTCATACGGTCTTGTTGCTGTGCACGTGACTACGCAGCTGGAGCGGATAAAGACTGTGGTGAAGAGGTGGCAGGAGTTGGATGAAGCCCTAAGAACGTGCAGACCCACTGCCACTATCGACCCGGTGAGAAGGGGCATGTGTATTCGTCCCATTCTTACTGACGGGCTTGTTGGCTATTTGTCTGGTCTGTCAACTGGGAGTGAGTGGATGGACGAGTACCTCTGCGTGAACGCGACTGTTCATGGGACGGTGAGAGGGTTCTCCAATGGAGTGACGTTTGAAGGACCCGGAGCAGGGGCGGGGTGGCCTGTTGCCCGAAGTGGACAGAATCAACCGTACCATTTCGTACACAAAACGTTCACTCTAGTGGTGATGGCGGTCATCCACGATAGGCCGAAGAAACGCACCCCCATTCCTTTGATTCGTGTGGTGATGGATGACGAGGACAAGACTGTGCTATTTGGTGTGTTTTACACCCATGATGGGAGGTGGATGACTGTAATTCATGGTGGCGGTAGACAAATACTTTCAACAGGGTGGGACCCAGAAAAACCGTGTCAGGTGGTGCTGCGACACGACACGGGCCATTGGGATTTATACATTAACGCGAGGGTGGCTTACTTTGGCACCTACAAGGGGTCTCTTCTCCAAACAAACAGTATTTCACACATCCAATTCCACGGGGAGAGTGGGGAAGTTGCAGAGTCCAGCCATTTGTCACTCTTCAACGCCCGTTTCTATAACCGAAGACTCAATTCCAAGCATCTAAGATGGCTCATGGTCGGCGAGGCAGGCCCAAAATACGATGATGGCAGCTCTTATTCTGCGAGTGCGTCGGAGGAAGGAAGCAGAGGCGACAGCTCCAATTCTGAAAGTTCATCGCAGAAGGAAAGTGAAGGGGTGAGCTTTGTGCATGAGAATGTGTCATGGATGCTGTTACTTCTGCTGGGGCTTTGGGGTTTTGCGGCTCTTTACTGATATTAAAACGGCGTTGTTGCTGTCTCCAGCGGGACGAAATATTTTTTCTGCGCTTTGCTTTGAAATATTCGAAGACTTTTGTGAACGATTTTGATTTTGATTTTTGTTGTATTTTTATTTTTATTTTTATTGGAAGACGTTATATAAAAAGTAATGTCTGGGTCTCCGTCTGCGATTACCGACGTGGAGACGTGTTTTTTTATTTATTTTTATTTCTTTCCGTTAATGTTGTAGTCTTGCGAAAACGACTGGAGTTGCAGATTGTTTTCTTCTTAACGATGACTGGGCGCTGGTGGCACTTTGCGCAGCGCCGGTGCGTGTCGGTGAAAATGAAGGGTGAGTGCTGGTGGGTGGGTGGGAGCAACGAGTAAAGTGTTCCGGTGGAATATAACCGATGAAAATTCGGGGGGGGTTTAATAGGCCGAAGTAAATACATGGATGCATATACACATGGACATATGTACGTGTATGTATCTATGTGTATGTTTTCTTCTTAAGGGCGAAGAGACACACGAATTTTAGAGGTCCCACGAGGATCTTCTGCGAAAAGTTGTATTTATTGACTTGTTTTGATTTTTATTTATTTCTGAGTATAAATGAGAATTGCGTTGAATCAAAATTTTTACATTT